ACTCACTCCCACGATCTTGGACACATCTGACGTCTGCGGAGTGGAGATGATTCAAGAGCACCTCGAATAGGGACGCTGTATCACACTTCTAAACTATCAGCAGGGTGAAAAAATCTGTGGCGACTCGGGAATTCCTAAAAAAGGTGAGGTAAACAATCATATGTTTCCCTCGCGTTCGGTCGGTGCTCTTGTCACAGCTGAGGCCCAGGAGTGGGGAAGACAGGATATGGTCCATCTGCACCCTTTTCAAGTAGGTACTGATGTTGTGAACCATCTGCTGGAAACCATACCTGCACATGTTAGTAACTCAACATGTTAGTAACAAATAAAGGAAACAATGAACGCAAAAGCCATAAGAAAGCAACATTCGAAAACATCGTCATACCGAGTGCGATATGTCAAGATTAGACGCAAGAATGAATGCATTGAAAGCATTGTGGGTACAAGTACTAACCCTAACATTGGGTAGTACTCTATACAGGCGACCCCACTATAGCCTACACAGAACTAGCACATATATAGTTTTTCACACCCCCAATAGGCAAAGTGGGGGAGAACAAGCGGTCACAAGACCAGTCAAGAAGAGCAAAGCAAGCTCAGGGTGAATCACAACGTCACCACACACTCAGAGCACAAGCAAAGGGCCACAAGGCCAGTTCACATGCAGAGGTATATATGCAACAACAACAGTACACTGATCACCACCTAGCAGGAGTAGGCATGCAGGTATACAATATAGATCACAGTACAAGCAAAGTCACGAGGTGAGCAAGTGAGGCCAAGTAGGCACAGGTCCTAGCACAGTACAGAACGGCTAATGATCACAAGGCTGAAGTGCCTTGGTGAAGATATCAGCGGTGTTGGCCCGAGAGGCCACATAAGCAAGGCCAAGCTGTCCACGCTGCTGCAACTCTCGAGCAAGGAAGTAACGCAGAGCAATGTGCTTAGTCTTGTGCTCAAGTCTGTGCTCCTGACACAAGGCAATCAACGTACAGAACTGGAGGAGAACGAGGTGGCTCTCCCAAGTCGGTCAGCAGGTAGGTGAGCCAGCGAAACTCCTGTGCAGCCATGGCCCCTGCGTAGATCTCAGCCTCACATCTGGAACAGAGAACAGAGGACGAGCGGGTAGACCCCCACGAAACAGAGTTGAAGCCAAGACTAAAGGTGTAACCTTGTGACGACCGCTGCAAAGCCAAGTAGTCAACCCAAGAAGCATCAGCGTGACCAGTAAGGACAACTCGAGCCCCATGCCCGACGTACTGCACAAGTAGCGCATCACCCTCCTAGCGGCCTTCCAGTGCTCTGGTCGGTGTCTCCCGCGCGTAACTTAGCATGCCAGGATGCTAAGAGGGTAAGCAAGGTAAGGACGAGTGCAGGTTGCAGGTACATGAGGCAGCCCACAAGCTTTGGATACGGGCCACTCGGCTCTACAGACTCATCCGAAGGTGGAGCTGAGAGCGAGTGACCGGTAGGCAGAGGAGTGGACTGTGGCAAGGAGTACGTGAAGCGGAAGCGCTGAAGGACCTGCTGCACCATGGGTGACTGAGTCAGGGTAATGGTGCGCCGTGCTCTGTCCTGGGTGATCTGCAAGCCAAGATAGTTGCGCAACTCTCCCAGGGTTGTGCACATGTGTCTCTTGTGCATCTCCGGCTTCACGTCGGCGAGTCCCTTAGTGTCAGCAGTGGCAAAGACCAAGTTGTCAACGCACACGAGGATGTAAAACTTTGACAGCGAAGTGTCGATGCGCAGAAACAGCGACGGGTCAGCAATCGAAGGAGCAAACCCAAGAGCCGCAAGCGTCGTCCTCAGTGTGTCGTAGTCCACTGTAGGAAAGTTGTGCTGAAGTGAAGAGAGTGAAGCTGGTAGTCACGCGGAGTGGCAACGTGCAGCAGAACCCAAAGAGTGGTCATCTTCGGGGTAGGGGAGAAGGTCTGGAAGAATTCAACTCCTTGTCACTGACTGAAGCGTCATGCAACGTAACGCGCCTTGAAGACAGGCGGAGAACCCGGCGGTCGCTTCACCCTGAAAATCCACATGCCACTAACGATGTTCGCTCCAGGTGGGGGAACAGCATCGACGTAAGTGCCTGTGGACTTCCAGGATGCCATCTCTGCGTTCATGGCTGACTGCCATTGAGAGGAGTAGGGACCCTCCACCGCCTCTGCGTAAGAGCGCGGGGTCGGGATGTCTGGTGCATCCGGGTCTCCCTCAGGTGCAATCAGCATGAACACGAGATGAGGTACAGCAGCTGCAAAGCACTCAAAGTCCTCTTGCCTGTCCTCAAGGATGTCCGTGCCAAGAGCACACTCACCCTCGACGGACGGAGGACAGACAGACTCAGACTCAGCAACAAGGCTAGCGGCGTAGTCGAGACGACAGCAAGCAGCAAAGTCGACAAGCTCAGCAACTAAGGCAGACGCAACAGTGGACTCAAAGGAAGGGTCAATAACAACAGTAGCTAGCAGACGCATGACAGTAGGGCTGGCAGCACGAACTGAGTCATACTCCGGGTCCGGACCGTCAGCAAGGGAGGACGCATGAGGGACACGATGTGGAACAGAGGAAGGACGAAGTGCCATAGTGTGCGTGCCGAGGACAGGAGGAGGACGCTCATGAGGAACTCAACGACCAGTGCGACCAGCGCGAACAGGCAAGGCAGGACGAGACGCAGGCTCACGACGCTCAGTAGGACCTCCTGTTTGCTCAGTGTAAGGAGAGGGAGCAGGCCGTGAGGAGCCAGGCTGTAACGAGAGACTAGTAGAAGATGGGAGGCTAAGAACCTGGCGAAGCGCTGAGTCAGGCGGCGGCAGAGACGGCGGTGACGGTGGAGCGAAGAACAGTCGCTGGTGTGCAGTACCACCAGTACCTCCAGCACTAGCAGCACCACCAGCTCCGGTAGTGCCAGGACCTCCAGTACTAGCACCTCACGGACCAGTAGCTCCAGCACTACCAGCAGCTCCAGAACCTTCAGCTCCAGCACCTCCAGTGCCAGCGCCTCTAGCTCTAGCGCCCGCAGTGCCACCAGCTCGGGCAGCTCCAGCACCTCCAGGACCATCACCTCCAGGACCAGCAGCTCCAGCTCTAGGGCCACCAGCCCCGACGCCTCCAGTGCTAGAGCCTCCAGCTCCAGCGCCTCCAGCTCCAGCGCCTCCAGCTCCAAGGTCTCCAGCTCCAGTGTCTCCAGCACCGGCAACCCCAGCTCCAGTGTCTCCAACTCCAGGGTCGACAGCACCAGCTCTAGTGCCACCAGCAGTAACACCCCCAGAACTAGCACTACCAGCTCCAGCAGTACCACTAGTCCTGGCAGCTCCAGTACCTCCAGTACGAGCACATCCAGAACCAAAAACACCAGCACCCTTAGTGCCTCCACGGCGAGCAGCTCCAGTAGCTCCAACCGCAGTACCTTGAGCAGAAGTACCTCGATCAGCAGAACCTCCAGCTCCAGCAGCACGACTTCTAAGGCGGGCAAGCCACGCAAGCCACTCTCGTAGCTGCTGTGGTGAGAGAGGCCCTCGTCGTGAAAATCCACCCGGAGAAACACCAGCAGACTCAGTACCCCCAGACCCGGCACCCTCCGGCTCAGCACCCCCAGGCTCCGCACTAGCAGGCTCAGCACCCCCAGGCTCAGCACCCCCAGGCTCAGCACCCCCAGGCTCCGCACCCCCCAGCACCGTACGCACAGGCTCAGCACCCCCAGACGCAGCACCCCCCAGCACCTCACGGACAGGCTCAGCACCCCCAGACGCAGCACCCCAAGCAGCACCACCCGCAGAAGCACCTGAGTTGCTAGTAACCTCCACAGGCGCAGCCAAGGGGAGTGGGTCTACCTGAGACACACCTGAAGGAGCAGGACCTTGAGGAGGGAGGGGGTCTACCGGAGGGGGACCTAAAGCGAGGAAAAGCGGCGGGGGAGGGAGAGGGGCAGTGCGGTAGGGGAAGAGACGGTAGAAAGGAACCGACTCATCAAAGGTGACGTCCTGAGAGGACAAAACACTGCGTGAGGTGGGGTGGTAAAATTGCCAGCCAGGCGCGTCAGTGGGGAAGCTGAGGAAGACACAGGGCAGGGTGCGGGAGAAGAGCTTGTCCGCAAACGTATCACGGACAAAGGCACGAGCACCCCAGATCCGGAACACCAACGCATCGACAGCCTCTCCCGTCCAACGCAGTGTCGGCGAAGTCTCCGGCAAGGAGACACGGGGCCAGAGGTTGAGCTGCTGCGCGGTGTACCAGACCGCAAACGGCCACAGAAAATGGGGAGCTGCCGCATGGATCAAGGAGGTACGAGCGATCTCCATGACCAAGCCAATGCGGTGCTCAACAACCCCATTTTACTGCGGTGAGGTCGGAAGCGTGAACGAATGGAGGATGCCCTCCCCTTGACAGAAGGCCCGCAAGAGGTCGGAGGAGAACTCACCACCTCTGTCACAATGTAGACGCAGGACAGGGAGGTGTTGGCGGAACTGCTCGCGGAGGTGGAGACAAACTGCTTGGATCCAAGGGATCAGGACATCAGGGACCTCACCCTTGGTGCGCAAGGGGAAGACCGTGGTGTAACGCGAGTAGTCGTCGACAACCAGCAGAAAGTACCGCGCACTGCCATGTCCACGAACGCGGGCTGGTCCACACACGTCCATGTGGAGGGTCTGCAAGGGAGCCTCTGTCGGGGGAAACGAGGAGGAGTGAGGAGCGGCGCGCTGCCGCCCCTCGATGCAAGGAAGGCAGGGCAGCGCAGGCAAGGCAGGGAGGCGAGGGAGAGACCTGGGAAGACCAGACACAAGGAGCAGACACTTGACCAGTAGCAGTGACCTGAGGAGGCGCAGTCGTCAGTGTGTAAAGACTTGACCCTGGCCGATGGGTTGACGTGGCTAGGGGGCAGCCGATCTGGGAGCACGTACAGATCGCCACACGCTGTCCTCGAGGGATAAAGGTGTCAACCCACCGGTCCTGGAGAATTGCGTTGCTCACCAAGTTCGTAGAGAACGAGGGGAGGTGGAAGCCTGTCAGTGAGTCAGACGGAACCACTGGGCACGGGAGAACAATGGTGGACCGTGTAAGAACTGGGTCCCCTGAGGGGTCAGCCAGAGAGACTGCAGCAGGTGTAGTGACTGGTGTGAGTGCAGTACTGTCACGAAAGAAACAGCGAGAAGCACCTGAGTCAAGCATGAAGGTGTGCAAGGCCTCAGCAGACGTAGTACTTGAGAGAGCAGACTCACTCGCACCTAAGGCAGCAGCCTCTATACCTGGGTCAGGCGGCACACACAAGTAACAGTCTCCCTCAGCACTAACAGTCAATGCATACATGGCAGTAAGGATAGCATCATAGTCAAGAGAAAAGAGGTCTACACCATCCCTAAGCAACTCATGCCACCTAGGGCGCTCGACCTCCTCGACCATCTCCTCACGCCAGGCGTCGTCAAGGCGGGAGAAGCAGCGGTGCTGAGTGTGGAACTTCTCGCACGTCTGACCAGCGCGGTCACCTGTGCGAATGATATACGGGCAGCGACCACTACCCTCAGACGTCCCACGCTGAGCAAGCCACTCACGAAGCTGCTGCGGCGTAAGTGCCTCACGAGGACGCTGGAGTTGCTGCTGTCTCTGACCAGCGCCAACGCCTCCGCCCCGACCGCCACCGTCGCCGCCAACGCCGCCCCGGCCACCACCACCGCCGCCACTGCCGCCAGCACCCCCTCCGCCACCACCGCCTCCACCACCACTCCCACCGCCGCCACCGACGCCACCACTCCCGCCAGCACTCCCGCCACCACTCCCTCCGCCGCCACCACCTCCTCCTCCACCTTCTCCACCACCACCCCCCCCAGTGCCACCTCCGCTACCCTTGGCTCCCTTGCCCTTGCCGCTGCGGCGCCTCCCACTAGGAGTAGAAGCAGCACCAACAGACTCACCACCAAGGTAGTCAACAGCAGTGGCAGTAGCGTAGGAGGGGGCGAGGGGAGAGGGAGAGCACCCCTCAAAGATGGGGGTGCAAGGAGCGCCACGAGCAGCACCTACAGTGACTATGCTAGTCTCGGCGGCTAGAAGCTGTTCCTCTAGGAGGTCGACAGTGAGATCAGTGGGAGAGCGAGCGAGAAAGTGGTCCCTGACTGAGCGAAGAGAGTCAGGGAGACGGGTCACTATTGTGAGAGTACGACGGCTTATGCTGGCTTTGCTAGCTTGCCTGGACTTTATTATGCTATATCTAGCTTGGGTTTATTTTATCATGCATAGATATGCTTGATTTCCTAAGTTAGGTGCATTCCTATACTTTATTATAGTTATAGCACCGAACCAGGTTACGTGTGCCGAACTCAAGCCTATTCGGTTTCTACCGAATTGCTTTCTACTGAGTTCGGGAAGGTTCTATTCTGGGCGCTTTGCGACCCTCAGAACATTCTCGTAACACCTGGGTAACAGGCCTTGTGTCGAGACTATATATAGCCTCGTGTTGTACCCAGGTGGATCATTGAATTAAAACCCACTTTTCTGAGCTCGATCCTAGATCCTCACACTTGGTAATCAGAGCCTGTTTACACGCGACAGTTTATCGACCGCTAAAACCGAGTCTTCAAAAACCGCGGGGGCGACGCCTGTTAAACACCGATTCCGGGTACGTAAAACCGGTTCCGTGTTTTTCGCTCCCCCTCGTTTCGGTTTTTTCGAACGCGCAATGTCAGGCATGGAGGGTCAAGGCGACAACTACGCGACGATGAGCGACATCGCTAGCCTTCGCACCGACATGGAACAGACGCAGGCGGCGATTTGGCGACTCGAGGCCCTTCTGACAAACCAATCCACAGCCTCCACCGCAGCAATCAATGCAGCAGCGAACGTAGCAACGACAGCAGCAGCAGCGGCAGCGACACCGACTTTTCACGGACCGATGGTACCACCAACGCCGAACCTCGAAGCAGCTCGCCCGAGGCTCCCCGAAGCGTTCGATCCAAGCGCGAAAGGATCTGACGTTCGACGTGTCAAAACTACATTGTAGGCTATAGTGGGGCACTCCTTATGGGGTACAGTATTGTTAGGTTTTGCCTATACAAACCTTGTATTGCCCTGTTTCTAGTCATTCCTCGTTCTTATTCTCACATGGTATCAGAGCAGAATCGTTCCTAGGGCCCACCGAATGTTCCGCCCTGCCCTAACAGAATTTAGCTGCCCCTGCAGCCGCGCTGCCCTTGAAGCCCACGTGCTGCCCCTACGACCGTGCTGCCCCTGCAGCCGTGCCTGCCCCTGCAGCCCGTGGGCGCTGCCTCTGCAGCCCGCGCGCCGCCCTGCCGGGCCGCGTGTCACCCCTGCAGCCCGTAGGAACTACCTCTGCAGCCCGCGTGCCGCCCTCTCGAGCCGCGCATAGCCCCTGCGGGCGCTGCCCCTGCGACCCGCGCGCCGCCCTGCCGAGCCGCGCATCGCTCCTGCTCGTCGCGATGCCCCTGCGGGACCCGCGCGGCATCCCCCTTGCTCGTCGCGGCGCCCCCTGGACGCCGCCCCTACTCGTCGCGGTGCCCCCGGGGCGTCGCCCTTACTTGTCGCGGCGCCCCCTGGGTGCCGTCCCTGCTCATCGCGGCGCCCCCCCTGGACGCCGCCCCTACTCGTCGCGGCGCCCCCGGGGCGTCGCCCCTACTTGTCGCGGCACCCCCTAGGCGCCGTCCTTGCTCGTCGCGGAGCCCCCCTGCAGCAGTCGTGGAGCCCCCCTACAGCAGTCGCGGCCCCGCCCTGCAGCAGTTGCCGCGGAGCCTCTTGCCGCCGTCGCGGCCCCGCCCTGCAGCAGCTACCGCGGAGCCCCCCCCTTGGCGCAGTCGTAGCCCCGCCCTGCAGCAGCTGCCGCGGAGCCCCCCTTGCCGTAGTCGTGGCCTCGCCCTGCTGCAGCTGCCGCGGAGCCCCCTGCCGCAGTCACGGCCCCGCCCTATAGCAGCTGCAGCGGAGCCCCCTGCCGCAGTCGTGGCCCCGCACTGCAGCAGCTGCCGCGGAGCCCCCCTGCCGCCATCACGGCCCCGCCATGCCGCTGTCGCGGCCCCGCCCTGCATCTGTCGCGTCCTCGCCGTAGCCGTCATCGGCCCTTTCCGCCACTAGTGAGCACCTACCCTACCCGTGCTTCCTGCGCGCCTGCCTTACTAGCGCACTGCCGCGCCGGCCTGCCTGCTAGCCGCGCCTGCCTGCCCGCCCAGCCGCGCCGACGTGCCCGCGCTGCTACTGCTGTTCGTGCAAATCGCCCTGGAGCTGGTCAATTGGGAGCGTCTAGCAGTGGCCAGATGCAGATGCAGCGGCGTCCGCGCGAGTCTCTCACGCCCTAGCAGCTTTGTGAGTGGTACGCTAGTTGGGGCTGTGGCGGTGGACGTCGTGGCTGTCGCCTTGGAGCTGGTCAGTTGGCAGCGTCTGGTAGTGGCCAAGGCAGCTGCAGCAGCGTACGTGCGAGTCTCTCACACCCCAGCAGCTTCGTGAGTGGTACGCTCACAGTAGAGGGTCTCGGAGTACCGTTCGCTGCCCGTACGTCATTCGCACAGGTGCTCAGGCTGGTCAGGCTTGCGGGACGGTTGGTCACACACAGTCCCGCTGCTTCGCCCATCTGAGCGACGCCTGGCGTACCGAGTTTGGCGACGAGGCTGAGCTCCCCGACTGGGTGGAGCTGCTTAGACAGCGGGTGGATATCTTTGCTCTTGACTATGATGCTATCCTCACTGCCATGTATGCATTGCCCACTAGTGCTGAGGGTGCCTGTTACCTGTGCGTACCGCCTGACCTAGGTATAGAGTCTGCTGCTCTAGGTGCTGGTGAGGGTGCTGCTCTAGGTGCTAGTGAGTCTGCTGCTCCAGGTACTGGTGAGTCTGCTCTCTCGGGTACTGCGCCTGCTGCGGCCTTGCACACTTTCACCCTTGATTCGCGTGCTTCCCGCTCCTTCTTTCGCGACTGCACCACACTCTCGCCGCTCAGTCGGCCAGTGGTGGTCTCTCTGGCTGACCCCTCTGGGGGTCCGGTCCTTCCACACTCCTCCACGGTTCTGCCGTGTCCAGCGGTCCGTCTGGCTCAATGTCTGGCCTCCACCTCCCCTCGTTCTCCACAAATTTGGTGAGTGGAGCTGACCTTCAGGACGCGTGGGTTGACCACGTCACTCCTGGAGGTCAGCGGGTGACCCACTGTTCGTGTACTCGGACGGGCCGGCACCTGGCCACGTTCACCCGTCAGCCTGGGTCGAGCCTGTACACCCTGACTACCGTGCCCCTTCCAGTTGCTGAGTCTGGTCAGGTAGCCACGTCGGGTCAGTTGTTTGCTGCAGCGTCCCGGTCTGGTCGTGAGTCTGGCCCCTACTCGTGTCGCCTCCTGTCTCACCAGACTCTCCTCTAGCACCACCGCCTTGGTCACCCCTCCGTGCCTCGTCTCCGAGGCATGGCCTCCCGTCTCCTTGTCACTGGCCTTCCCCGGTCTCTCCCTCCCCTTCCCCCGGGGCCTGCCCCTACCTGCGTTTCTTGCGTCGAGGGGCGGCAGCGCGGCGCTCCTCACTCCTCCGAGTTCCCTCCGGCAGAAGCTCCCCTGCAGACTCTTCACATGGACGTGTGGGCCCCAGCCCGCGTCCGTGGATAGGGTCACGAGCGCTACTTTCTGCTGGTCGTTGACGAATACTCGTGTTACACCACAGTCTTCCCCTTGCGCTGCAAGGGTGAGGTCACTGAGGTGCTGATTGACTGGATCCCCGCTGCTTGTCGTCAGCTCAGCGAGAGTTTCGGCTCGGACCTTCCTGTTCTGTGTCTGCACTCCGACAGTGGTGGAGAGTTTTCCTCTGACCTTCTGCAAGCCTTCTGTCGTGCGGAGGGCATCCGCCAGACGTTCACGCTTCCGGCCTCTCCGCAGCAAAATGGGATTGCTGAGCGCCGCATTGGCATGGTCATGGAGGCTGCTCGTACGTCCATGATCCATGCGGCTGCTCCCCATTTTCTGTGGCCGTTTGCGATTCAGTACGCTGCGCATCAGCTCAACCTCCTCCCCCGGGTCTCCATGCCGGAGACCACACCTACTCTGCGGTGGACAGGGAAGGTTGGCGATGCGTCTGCGTTACGTGTCTGGGGATCTCGAGCTTTCGTCCGGGACTTGTCTGCAGACAAGCTGTCCTCCCGTGCTGTTCCCTGCGTCTTCCTTGGCTTCCCCCCTGACGCTCCTGGTTGGCAGTTTTACCACCCCACCTCGCGCCGTGTTCTGTCCTCTCAGGACGTCACGTTTGACGAGTCGGTTCCTTACTACCGTCTCTTCCCCTACCCCCCCTCGCCGCTCTTCCTCGTGCCAGGTCTTCCCCCGGTAGACCCCCTTCCCACTCAGGGTCCTGCCTCCTCATGTGTGTCCCAGGCAGACGCAGTCGAGCCTGTCGAGGAAGCTGTTGACTCTGGTGCTACTAGGGGTGCTGAGCCTGCGGGTGCCGGGTCTAGAGGTGCTGAGCCTGCGGGTGCCGGGTCTAGAGGTGCCGGGTCTAGAGGTGCTGAGCGTGCATAGCCTGGGGGTGCTGAGTCCGGGGGTGCTGAGCCTGGGGGTGCTGAGTCTGGGGGTGCTGAGCCTAGGGTTGCTGAGTCTGGGGGTGCTGAGCCTGAGGGTGCTGAGCCTGTGCGTGTGGAGTCTGGAGGTGCTGAGCCTGGAGGTCCCTCAGGTGCTTCGTCCCGACGGGAGCCACTCTCTCCATTGCAGCTGCGCGAGTGGTTTACTCGCCGCTAGAGCCGTGCTGCTGGAGCCGTGCTGTTGGAGCTCGTGGTACTACGAGCGCTAGAGGTCCTATTGCTGCAGGTGCTGCTGGGGGTTCTGGAGCCACTGGTCCCGGAGGTGCTCATACTGGAGGTACAGGAGCTGCTGGGCCTAGTAGTGCTGTTGAAGCTGGAGCTACTGGAGGGGTTGGAGATGGGGGTGCTGCTGGAGGTACTGGAGCTGGCGCTACTGGAGCTGCTGAGGCTTCTGGTGGTCCTGCTAGAGCTGGAGCTGCTGGAGGTGCTGGCGCTGGAGGTTCTTTTGGAGCCGGTGCTCTTGGGGGTGCTGGATTTGGCGCTACTGGAGCTGCAGGAGGTGCTGGTGGAGATGGTGGTGGTGCTGGAGTTGGAGCTGACGCTGGGGGTGCTGGTGCTGTCCCTGCTGGTTCTGGAGGCGCTGCGCGGCCGCGGCCGTACTTCGTTCCTCTCCTTGAGCAGGTTCTTGGTCTCCCGCCTTCTACTGGTCCTGCTCCTTCCTTAGAGTGTCCACCGCCTGTACAGTCGTAGTCGCAGTTACAGCCTGCCTCTCGGCTGCCTGCTCCTTCTCCTTACACTGGTCCGATCGGAGGTCTTACGGAGCGTCGTGAGCCTGAGTCTCGTCCTGCGTTGCCTGTTCGTGCTGCTCGAACAAGTCGTCGTGGTTCACGTCATCGTCCTCCTCCTGTCCCTGGCACGCACCAGATGGCTCTACGTCTGTCCACTGTTGCGCAGCGTGTCCCTCTGCCGTCTCCTCCTGCATCCTCTCTTCCTGGCCTTGCTGACCCAGAGTCTGACTCCCTCCGTGCTGCTAGTCCTACCGTCTGGCCTCTCTTGGCCACTGTTGTCACTAACCCTTCCTTTGAGTCCACTGTTGCGTCTGCCTTAGTTGCTGAGCTTGTCGGCTGTGCTGCTCACTGTTGTCTAGACTACGCCGCTAGTCTTGTTGCTGAGTCTGAGTCTGTGTCTGTCTGTCCTCCGTCCATCGGGGGTGAGTGTGCTCTTGGCACGGACGTCCTTGAGGACAGGCAGGAGGAGTTTGAG